CGTGTTCCAGGTCTAGAGCGCTCGTACCTTTGCCTGCGATACCTCCGTGGTCAAGCTCTCCTCCCGCGCCATTCCCTGTGTCTACCTTGGTTCCCCTCTGATGCGTCTGGCTGGCAGTTTTACCACCCCACCACGTGCCATGTTCTGTCCTCTCAGGACGTCACGTTTGACGAGTCAGTTCCCTTTTATCCTCTCTTCCCCTATCGCACTGCCCCTCCCCCCCCCCCCCCCCCCCCGCCGCTCTTCCTCGCTCCAGGTCCCCCTCCGATAGACCCCCTCCCCCCTCAGGGTCTTGCTCACTCAAGTGTGTCTCAAGTAGACCCACTTCCTTGGTTGAGCATGTCGATGTCACTGGCGACTCTAATGCTGCTGGGGGTGGTGCTGCTCGGGGTGCTGCGTCTGGGGGTGCTGAGCCTGCGGGTGCGGAGCTTGGGGGTGCTGAGCCTAAGGGTGCGGAGCCTGGGGGTTCTGAACCTGAGCGTGCGGAGCCTGAGGGTGCGGAGCCTGGGGGTGCTGAGCCTGCGGGTGCGGAGCCTGGGGGTGCTGAGCCTGAGGGTGCTGAGTCTGGGGGTGCTGAGCCTGCGGGTGCTGAGCCTGGGGGTACTGAGTCTGGGGGTGCTCAGCCTAGGGGTACTGTCTGCTGGAGGTCCTTTGGGTGCCTCCTCGCGGCGGCCTCGCCGGCGGGAGCTTCTCTCACCATAGCAGCTGCGCGACTAGTTTACTCAGCGCACCCGCCTTCGGAGTGGCGCTGCTGGAGCTGGAGACCCACCGCTGGAGGCAGTGCTGCTAGAGGTGCTGGACCTGGAGGTACCGGAGGTGCTGGAGCTGCTGGTCCTGGAGGTGCTCGTACATGAGGTACTGGAGCTGCCAGAGCTGGTGGTGCTGCTGGTGCTGGAGGTGCTGGTAGTGCTGGCGCGCTGGTCCTGGAGGTGCTCGTACTGGAGGTATTGGAGCTGCAAGAGCAGGTGGTGCTGCGGGCACTGGAGCTGGAGACCTTGGAGCTGGAGGCACTGGAGCTGGAGGCACTGGAGCTGGAGGAGCTGGAGCTGGTGACCCTGGAGCTGGAGGTGCTAGAGCTGGAGGTGCTGGAGCTGGAGGTTTTGGAGCTGCTGTAGGCTGCTGGTACTCGTACTAGAGGTGCTGGAGCTGGTAGTACGGGTGCTGGTGGTACTGCACAGCGGCGACTGTTCTTCGCTCCACCGTCACCGTCGTCTCTGCCACCGCCTGACTCTGTGCTTCGCCAGGTTCTTAGCCTCCCGTCTTCTATTGGCCTTACTCCTCCCATACTATGTCCACCACCTGACCAGTCACGGCCACAGCTACAGCCAGACTCCCCACTGCCTGCTCCTTCTCCTTACACTGTGCAGACGGACTCTCTTACAAAGCGTCGTGAGACTGAGTCTTATCCTGCCTCGCCTGTTCGTGTTGTTCGCACTAGTCGCCGTACTCCTCGTCCGCGTCCTCCTCCTGTCCCCGGCACTCACACTATGGCACTTCGTCCTTCCTCTGTTCCACTGCGTGTCCCCTTGCCGTCTCCTCCTGCATTCTCTCTTCCGCATGTTCTGGACCCTGAGTCTGACTTGGTTCGTGCTGCCAGCCCTACTGTCCACGTCTCCTAGCCATTGTTGTCACAGACCCTTCGTTTGAGTCCACAGCTGCGTCTGCCTTAGTTGCTGAGCTTGTCGACTTTGCTGCTAGCTGTCGTATCGACTACACCGCTAGTCTTGTTGCTGAGTCTGAGTCTGTCTGTCCTCCATCCGTCGGGGGTGAGTGTGCTTTTGGCACGGACGTCCTTGAGGTCAGGCAGGAGGACTTCGAGTGCCTTGTAGCTGCTGTACCTCATCTCGTGGCCATGCTGCTTGCACCTGAGGGAGACCTCGATGCTTTAGACATCCCGACCCCGCGCTCTTACACAGAGGCGATTACGGGTCCCTACTCCTCTTAGAGGCAGGTAGCCATGGACGCAAAGATGGCATCCTGGAAGTCCACAGGCACTTACGTCGACGCAGTTCCCCCTCTTGGGGCGAACATAGTCGATGGCATGTGGATTTTCAGGGTGAAGCGGCCATCGGGTTCTCCACCTGTCTTCAAGGCTCGTTACGTTGCACGAGGCTTCAGTCAGCGACAGGGAGTTGACTTCTTCCAGACCTTCTCCCCTACCCCGAAGATGACCACTCTTCGAGTGCTGCTGCACGTTGCCGCTCAACGTGACAACGAGCTTTACTCTCTTGAATTCTGCACAACTTTCTTACAGGGCAGCTTGCACGAGGAGATCTGGCTGCGCCGCCCACCTGGCTTCACTGGGTCGTTTCCTGCAGGTACCTAGTGGAGCCTCCGACGGCCAGTCTACGGTCTCCGCCAGGCGCCTCGTGAGTGGCACGACACACTGAGGACGACACTTGCGGCTCTTGGGTTTGCTCCTTCGACTGCTGACCCGTCGCTGTTTCTGCGCACCGACACTTCGCTGCCGCCGTTCTACATCCTCGTGTACGTTGACGACTTGGTTTTTGCCACTGATGACCTTGAGGAACTAGCCCTTGTGAAGTCAGAGCTGCAGAAGAGACACACGTGCACAGACCTGGGTGAGTTGCGCAGCTATCTTGGCTTGCAGATCACCCAGGACAGAGCACGGCGCACCATCACCCTGACTCAGTCACACATGGTGCACGAGGTCGTTTAGCGTTTTTCGGCTTCCAGTTCTCCTCACCACAGTCCACTCCTCTGCCTACCGGTCACTCGCTCTCAGCTCCACCTTCGGACGAGTCCGTAGAGCCGAGTGGCCCGTATCCAGAGCTTGTGGGCTGCCTCATGTACCTGATGACCTGCACTCGACCTGACCTCGCGTACCCTCTTAGCATCCTGGCACGCTATGTTGCGCCCAGGAGACACGACAAGAGCACTAGGAGGCTGCTAAGAGGGTGTTGCACTACTTGTGCAGTACATCGGGCATGGGGCTCGTGCTTGGAGGACGGGGTCGAGTTGTCCTCACTGGACACTCAGACGCGTCTTGGGTTGACGACCTGGCTACGCAGCGGTCGTGACAGGGTTACACGTTCAGCCTTGGCTCCGGCTCTGTTTCTTGGCGGTCTACCCGTTCGTCTTCTGTTCTCAGCTCCAGTTGTGTGGCTGAGACCCAGGCAAGAGCCATGGCTGCACAGGAGTTACGCTGGCTCACCTACCTGTTGACCGACTTGGGAGAGCGGCCTCGTTCTCCTCCAATTCTGTACGTAGACAACAAGGCCATGATTGCCTTGTGTCAGGAGCACAGACTGGAGCACAGAACGAAGCACATCGCTCTGCGTTACTTCATTGCTTAAGAGTTACAGCAGCGTGGTCAGCTTCGTCTTGCTCACGTGGCCACTCGGGCCAACACTTCTGATATATTCACCAAGGCACTTCTGTCTGGTGATCATCAACGCTTCTGTACTGCTTTAGGCCTTGTGCCTGCTTTGTCTCACTTGCTTACTACGTGACTTTGCTTGTCCTGTAATCTATATATATACCTGCATGCTTACACTTGCTAGGTAGTGATCGCCGTACTGGTTGCTCTTTTTATATAACTCTGCATGTGAACTGGCCTTGTGGCCATTTGCTTGTGCTCGGAATGTGTGGTGACTTCGTGATCCGCCCTGAGCTAGCTATGCTTTTCTTGTCTGGTCTTGCGACCACTTGTACTACCCCACTTTGCCTATGGGGGTGTGTTAAACTGTTATGATGTTTATGTTGTGTGTGCCCATAAGGGGTACAACCCAATTAGGGTTAGTTTATATACCAACTTTCTTTTCGATGTATTCATTCTCGTTCAGTTTCTTTGATAATAACCCCCAAGGCCAACGTGCCTGTAACCCTTCCCTAGGATCAATCGAGGATCTTCTGCGGACCTCTGACACCGGGTACCTAATCACAAGCAGCCTTACTTACGCTCCTACACTATGTACGATCAAACTGAGCCAATCTTATAAAGCATCCTTTCATATCGTAACAGATACCGTATTCTCCCAGACATAACACCCTAGGGTATATGTAAAAATACAGGAGAAAAAGGGGGGTGTCTTCTCATAGGAAAGGACAAAATAATACCAGGGTGTTTACATATGTTATATTTTAGTGTTAGTGTTTTTTAAATTAGACAAAGTGGGTATTTTGATGGTCATTTCAACATCACTGTCTGAGGCACGAATGTGAGTTTCGGCCGCGAACTTCATCACCCCCACAAAAATGCCATCTGGCACTTCTCTGGCCACTTGTAGCAGAAGATTCACCAGCACGTGGTGACAGCGAAATAGTGGGAAGTACGAAATCTCGATAAATTGTAAGTGAAAGTACAGCGAAATTTCATCGAGGGAGAAATTCTCGCGATATTCTTCCATATTGCAACTACTCGTGAAAAAACGAGACTGCAAAATTGTGAACCCCGGCCTAGCTTGAAATGGCCGCGGCACTTTAGCACGGGAATCCAGTGTGTGCTGTTTTTGTCTAGGAATCATTGACTGGCAGGTCAATTGTTTGATTGAGAGCGGCAAGTCACGAAAGCCCTACTGTGACAATGACAATGACAGCCTCGAGCTCGCCGCCATGGCTGCCTACCATTTGCCTCGAACTCACATTGCGTGAAGCATGCTCAACATTTGGCTTTATTTTTACCAGCTTTGGAATCGCTACACCTTTACGAAAGGACTGTACTATTTACGTGTTCATCAGGCGAACATTGAACGGTCTTCTCAAGGGTGTCTTTCGCTAACACGTGGCTCTCTAGGTTTTGGTTCATTGTCAAGGAACAACCTAAGCTGTCTACCATTGGCTACAGAGATGCTGTGCAACGAGATGATCCCGAAGTACTTTCTTCAACCACGCAACACCAGTGCCAGGAACAATGGACAACCACAGGACGCTATAATCTATTTAACAAAGCTGTGCTCAGACGACCGGCTCATCAATTCAATCAGCTCTCTCAGCTCTCGGTCCAAGAGCTTCTGCCGTGTTATTGTCATCATTGCACGATGCCTCCAAAGAACTCGCGCGCTAAGCCTGTGGCTGATGCTCCTGCTGGTGGTGGCGATCCTGCAAGCAAAACAACGCCAAGCAAGGGAAAGGAGGTCATTGACAACCTCCCGTCAGAAGCAGAGGTGACGGCTGGCAGCTCTGGACTCACCCTCGAAGAGAAGCTGAAGGCGCTTGCAATGGTGGCCTCGGATGATACCTTCATTGAAAACGATTCGGATGAGGAGCTCGACATTGATGCGACTAAGAGCTCTTACCCGCATTTGCGCTTTACGGCGATCCTGCTCTTCCCAGTTATCCCCTCACGTGAAGTTGCTTCGGTCATTCTGACTGTGAGGACGATGATGAAACGTGTCTGGTCTAACCTGCTTACTGATGATGTTCTCGCTTCGGTGAAGTTCCAGGAGCTGCTCCCTGCCTTCGTCGCAAAGACACGCTACAGTCGGCTCTATGTCTCTTTCCTGCACAAATCTGGCGCGGTTAACACAAGCAGACAGGGGTGGAACACAAGCGTCAGAACGGCACGACGCTACACTGTTTCTGGCTGCATCAGGAGGACGCGGCTTACCTTCGCAAGAAGGCTTCGAGTCCGCAGCTGCTGGAGCTTTTCTTCAAGAACGTACCCGCTGATATCCCGCCGGAGCTGGTTAAGGAGATCATGGTGACTCACCCGCTCAAGATCCGGAAGCAGTCTGCCTTCGCCGAAGGCCACTGTTTCCACCGTGTCCTGCATCCGGTCACTGGCGCTGATACTGACAAGATCAAGGGATTGGTGGTTCAGCACACTGGTGACAAGCACCGCTGGCGTCACGAGTTTCGTCATCAGCTGCTGGGAGGATCGACCCTGTTGGCTCACTACCCGTTGCTATCCTGCGCGCTCTGTGGTGGACACCATTATGACAAATTTCATAATGCTTTTATTACAGAGCGTCAAAATAACATAGGGGGGTGGATTTTAGTGGTGGTACGGGTTCATAGGATCAATGGTAACTGCATCTTACCTTTTTTCGGTTTGTCGTTATGCTTTACCTGTCTTAACGGTTACTAATGCGCCTCTTGCCTCTTGCAGCTGCCTCTCTCCGCTCTTCCCCGCTTATCACCCAGCTACAGCTGGATGCGGCTTTTGTGCTGATCTCTACTGGGAGCAACCACGAGGAGTGGCTGTGCACTCTCGAAAGCTGCGGGAAGGCCCACGGCAAGTCCTTTATGGCTGCAGCAGATCATATCACGTCGGCGAGGCACCTGCTGGGCCCGGAGAAGCTGGGTGCTGCCACCCGATGCTCTCTAGAGAAGCTGGGTCTGCATATCATCCGCAAGGAATACCAGATCTGAGATCATCGCCCGCATACCAGATGCAGTGTAGCGTTGTGGAGGAGCTGATGCTTATTTGTGTAGTCGTAGCCGGTAGTACCCGCCCGTGGATGCGATGAGGCTTGTCAACAGTGATTAAATGAGTACGAAGAGCCTATTATCTTTTGCAGGCCTGAATGTCAACGGCCTGGGAGACAGGAACAAGCAACAACGCACGAAATCATGGATCAGACAGGCTGCATATGCCATTGTGCTAGCTGACGTCAGGCTCTCGGACGATCATACCTTCTGGAAGTCTCTTAACCAACCCAACATCTTAGTCGCCTCGCCTACCACCAAAGCCGGGGGAGTGGCTCTCATCTGCCGCAGTCCTGGCCTCTCTCATGCTAGTTCACCCGTCAGGCAGACTTTTCGCGGCGGAAGTCCGCCTCGACTCTTTCAGCATCACCCTGCTGGCCGTCTACTTCCCGACGAAAGGCTTTCGTTCGCAGGACGCTGGGACCGGTGATAAATTCGGTGTAGCCGGGTTCGCACCTATTTATCTTGGGGGATTTCAACCTGGTAGAGGACCCGCTGCTAGACAGGACGTCGAGGAAAGGCTCAGCAAAACAGAATGAGGAGTTATATCAGCGGTGCTGCGCTTTCAGTGTTTCAGACGCTTTCAGGGTGTTGCACACTTACAAGCGGGAGTTTACCTTTTACTCATGTGCTAACCAGTCCAGCTCACGGATTGACAGGGCACTTATCTCGCAGTCGCTGCTGTCGCACGTGGAGTTTGCTACGCACATCATGCCGGCGGACCCGATCTCGGACAACAGCTTCGCGGTGAAGGTCGCCTTCAGGATGGATACACGGGTGAAGCTGGGCCCCGTGCTTTGGAAGTTGCCTGCATACATGATCGGTCGGCCGGGGGTCAGAAAGATTATTGAAGCAGTGGAGAGGCAGGTGGCGTCAAATGGGGAGAATTTCGAGCTGCTGATCTCGCGGCTTAACGCCGGTCTCAAATCTTACGTGAAGGAGGAACGCAAGCGGGTTAAAGCCACGACGGCCCACCTCCATGAAGCTGCCGCGGCGCTGAAACTGACGTGGATGGGTGATCCGGGGAACGACCGGCTGAAAGCTCTGCTGGATGAGAAGGAGTCGCAGCTTCGCGGGTATCAACTGGCAAGGCAGGAGAGGCAGCATGTGATGGCTGGCATGAACGAGGCGGTGGCTGGGGAGATTGCGTCCCCATTCCTATCAGGGAAGATTAAGGCAAGACGGGAGAAAACACAGATCAAGGAGCTGAGTGCTGGAGGCGTGACGGTAACTGACAATAAAGCGATACTGGGGGTTGCGTCGCGGTTTTACAGATATCTTTTCGGGCACGATAGGCAGCAGACTGAGTAGGGCCGGGCTCCTGCTGCTGGCAGAACGCTGTCGCCGGCATCTAGGGAGAGGCTAACGGCGGCATTTAGGAGGTGAAAAGCGCTTTTCGCGCGATGGCGAAGAATAAGGCCCCATGGAGCGATGGGTTGCCGAAGGAGCTGTTTGAAGAGCACTGGGACGTGCTGGGTAAGCACTTCATGGCGCTGGTGGAGAGTTTCACCGAGTCGGCGGAGCTTCCTGCAAGCACAAAGAGCGCTGTTACTATTCTGCTGCACAAAAAAGGCGGAAGAGATGCGGTTGAAAACTATCGCCCCATCACGCTCCTGAGCTTCACTTACAAGGTGTTGGCGCGGGTAGTCGCAGACGGAATGAAAGGTGTCTTGAACGAGGTAATCTCACCAGAGCAGTACGAGTTCATGCCGGGCCGGAGGCTCTCTGATGCGGTGGGGCTGGTCGCTGACGTGATCGATGCTGCAAAGAATGGGCAGGCGGACTAGTACCTCCTGCTGGTGGACTTCAAGATGGCCTTTGACTCTGTCTCGAGGAATTACCTGTTTTTGGTGCTGGAAAGGATGGGCTTCCCCAGCAAGTTTGTCGCCTGGATCAAGGGCCTGCACGAGGAAACACAGACACGACTTTTAGTCAACGGCTAGATGGGGGAAGTGGTTGAGGTAGTATCAGGGGTGTGGCAAGGCTGTCCCCTCGCGCCTTACCTTTTACTGTGCGCCGTTGAGCCACTGGCACAGGAAGCCGCGAATCGCAATCTGGGCCTCACAGGGGGTGATCAGCGGCTAGCTTACCTGGGGTACGCTGACGACACGACGTTGCTCCTGCAAGGGGAAAAAACAGATAACAGAGGCTGAGAAGCTGCTTGACGACTTCGAAACGGAATCGGGGCTGGCGACCAACAAATCGAAGTCGGCTGTCTTACCTTTGGGTTGCAATTTGAACAAACAGGCCAGCAAAACCGACGGCTTCCAATGGGTGAAGGCCGACGAGGCGGAGAGGCTGTTGGGGGTCTTGGTGACGCCGGCCGGTTGCTGCGCGCCCACTTGGGAGAAGGCATTTGCACGGATTAAGGAGAAACTGAGGCAGTGGGAGGTGCAACACCTGACGACCGGGGCGAGAGCAGCAGTAATAAACTGTTACATCTCACCAATCATTTTCTTCCAGGCACAGGTGTACCCACCTCCGGTGGACATCTGGGGGAGAATTCTGAAGCTGACACATGTCCGGGAACTGGACCTCCACTGACAAGGCTTTCATTCTGTGGAGCAAGGAGCTGCTGTACATGGCTAGAGAGGATGGGGGAGTGGGGGTGAACGACCCGGAGATAGCCCTCACCTGTCTCACGGCAAGGCGTATCGGCTTACTCCTCACCGAGACAAACGAGCTGAAACGAGACATCATGCTCAAGGCTGCTGACTTGCTGCTGGGGCTGGACACCTTTGTCTCCCATGTCAAGCTCCTGAAGTGCTGGAGTGGGAAGAGTGAGCGATGGAAGCTGGCTTGCAGCAACTTCATGCAATCGCCGCTGGCCGACACATCACCAGCACTGTCACGGGTGGAGGCAGAGAAGGAGAGGATCGTTTTCAACCGCCATATTATGCTAAACAGGAGGACTCCGGTGGGAGGGCAGAAGGCGGCGGAGAAGCTTTGGGAGGTCCGGCTTAGCGACTTGCTATGTCCGGGCGGCGCGGGGGGCCGGCGGCCTAAGGACGTAAAGCTCCTGGCAAAGGAGCTAGGCGGTACCAAACAAGCGAAGCTGGCGCTGCGGGCCTGGGACGCAGTGCCGCATAATTGGAAGCTGCTCCTTCTGCCTGCCGAGCAACAGGAGGGGGACTGCTCGGCTCCGAGGGCTCCCCTCCAGAGAACCCTGGTGCTTAGCGGTGGGCAGCTGACGTCGCTGAGGGAGCTAAAGGGATGCTGGCAGTAGAAGAAACATCAGTCCGCGAAGAGGGAGCTGTGGGTGGGCAGATGGGGAGGAGAAATAAACTGGAAGGAGGTCATCAAGATCCAGGACTCTTTGGTGACCCCAAACAGGCCGCGGGACGTTGTCCTAAGGATTCACAGTCTGAATCTACAAGTAGGGGGACGGCTCTCTTTCCTAAGTGGCAAGCCGGTCTGCCCGCACTGTGGGGATTTTGAGACCCTGGAGCACTGCCTCTTCACCCGCCCGCGCATTCAGCTGGTGGTGGGGGCGGTCAGGCGGGCCATGCGTTTGCTTCATCCAGCGAGGCAAGTGGAGAGCCTTGGTAATTTGCTGTTCGGCAAGGCAGCATCCACCTCAGCCTTCCCGAAGCCTCGCTGGCAGCAATTGTGGTGCAGCAGATATGGGCAGAGTGGTGTGATTGTGTTTTCCGAGAGAAGCGTTTCCAGGCTCGGCGCGTCCTCAGGCGCATTGAGGCAGCTTTTCGGCTGCATGTGAAAGTGTACACCCGTGCAATGGGGAGGAAGCTGGGAAAGGGCGGTGGTTCGAAGCGACAAGGGAGGACATTGGCACTGGCGGGAGTGGAGAACTGTTTGCTTGGACGCATCCGATGCATGAACGAGAAGGGTTGGAAGTGGACCCGCAATTCGGGGCACTGTGGAACCTCGCACGAGGCGCTCTGCATCCGCCTTAGACACTACCTTTGGGGTCGTTACTAGCTTTCGACCTCTCGCGCTCAGTTACGACTGACATATGTTTTCGTATACGCATATACCACTAGTGTATAGTGAATATATCACAAAATAAATAAATAAATAAATATAACGAGAGCCCTACTGTGCAACAAGCCATGCAACATGTTGTGTCGCTTCACATTACCGCGATGCTCTTGGTTTGTCGTAAATCCTCGGTTGCTATGGAACTTGTGCTGACCAGCTGATTCAAGTTGGACCCACCTAGAAGGTGGGTGGGGGAAGGGGAGGGGGGGGGTCACTATTTTGCCTGCTGGCTTCAACGGCTATAAAAATGAGTCCGTAAGAAAAGGGGGGTGTTATAAAAAATCTCTAAAAAACGGAGGTATAGTAGAAACGAGGTTGTCAGAATCCCAGCCACTAACCACTGGGATAAAAGGGCTTGTTTGTGTAGCGGGTGAGTGCGCCCATAACCCCCCAGGCCAACGTGCCTGTAACCCTTCCCTAGGATCAATCGGGGATCACCAGTGGACCTCTGACACCCCCCCGCACTGGGATGCCCGAGGTGCACACACCGGGATTCGAACCCGAGACCTTCGCTCTGATACCATGTCAGAATCCCAGCCACTAACCACTGGGATAAAAGGGCTTGTTTGTGTAGCGGGTGAGTGCGCCCATAACCCCCCAGGCCAACGTGCCTGTAACCCTTCCCTAGGATCAATCGGGGATCACCAGTGGACCTCTGACAGAGGTTACCCATAGCACCCACCCCGCACAAGCTACCCGGGGATGTACAATCACAGGGGGGTGTTTTGTCCGGGAGAATACAGTAGAACTATTGCCAATTACAGCCTCGTCCTCTTTTCATAAGCTGGATTGCTATTAATGTGCATATTTTCTCCCACCGTTATTTCCTCATAAATATGTGTCTAGGTGCAGGATAAGGCCCCCGGGGCGATAAGTCAATATTTTACTACAAACGTCTAGCAGTAAAAAGGCAAAAAAACTATAAGCCCTTAGGGCCATCTGTCCAAATCTAGTGAGCAGGAATGAGTGCATTGAGTAGAGAGGTGGGAACAAATGCTAACCCTAATAAGGGTTGTACCCCTTATGGGCTACCCCATTACAGCCTACACAGCACAAGCATTAGTATAGTTTGACACATCCCCATAGGCAAAGTGGGGGAGAACCAGTGGTCACAAGACCAGTCAAGAAAAGCAAAGCAAGCTCAGGGTGGATCACAAAGTCACCACACATTCTGAGCACAAGCAAATGGCCACAAGGCCAGTTCACATGCAGAGTTATGTAAAAGAGAGCAGACATTACAGGGATCACCACCTAGCAAGAGTAAGCATGTAGGTATATATATAGATCACAGTAGAAGTGAAGTCAATAAGTGAGCAAGTGAGACGAAGCAGGCACAAGGCCTAAAGCAGTACAGAAACGCTGATGATCACCAGTCGGAAGTGCCTTTGTGAATATGCCAGCAGTGTTGGCCCGGATGGCCACGTAAGCAAGACGAAGCTGACCACGCTGCTGCAACTCTCGAGCAAGGAAGTAACGCAGAGCGATGTGCTTCGTTATGTGCTCCAGTCTGTGCTCCTGGCACAATGCAATGGCGGCCATAATGTCTACGTACAGAACTGGAGGGGAACGAGGCCGCTCTCCCAAGTCGATCAGCAGGTAGGTGAGCCAGCGTAACTTCTGTGCCGCCATGGCTCCTGCGTAGATTTCAGCCTCATAGCAGCTGAGAACAGAAGACGAGCAGGTAGACCGCCAAGAAACAGAGCCAGAGCCAAGGCTGAAGGTGTAACCCTGTGACGACCGTTGCGTAGCCAGGTCATCAACCCACGACGTGTCTGAATGTCCAGTGGGGACAACTCAACTCTATCCTCCAAGCACGAGCCCCATGCCCAATGTACTGCACAAGTAGTGCAACACCCTCTTAGTAGCCTCCCAGTACTCTCGTTGGTGTCTCTCGGGCGCAACGTAGGGTGCCAGGATGCTAAGAGTGTAGGCGAGGTCAGGTCGAGTGAAGGTCATCAGGTACATGAGGCAGCCCACAAGCTCTGGATACGGGCCACTCGGCTCTACGGACTCGTCCGAAGGTGGAGATGAGAGCGGATGACTGGTAGCCGGAGAAGTGGACTGTGGCGAGGACCAAGTGAAGCCGAAGCGCTAAAGGACCTGCTGCACCATGTGTGACTGAGTCAGGGTGATGGTGCGCCGTGCTCTGTCCCGGGTGATCTGCAAGCCAAGATAGCTGCGCAGCTCAACCAGTTCTATGCACGTGTGTCTCTTCTACAGCTCCGACTTCACAAGGGCGAGTGCCTTAGTGTCAGCAGTGGCAAATAACAAGTCGTAGACGTACATGAAGATGTAGAACTTTCACATCGAAGTGTCGGTGCGCAGAAACAGCGACGGGTCAGCAGTCGAAGGAGCAAACCCAAGAGCCGCAAGTGTCGTCCTCGGTGTGTCGTGCCACTCACGAGGCGTCTGGCGGAGACCGTAGACTGGCTGCCGCAGGCTCCACTGAGTACATGCAGGAAACGACGCAGTGAAGCCAGGTGGGCGGCGCAGCCAGATCTTCTCGTGCAGGCTGCCCTGTAAGAAAGCTGTGCTAAAGTCAAGAGAGTGAAGCTCGTAGTCACGCTGAGCAGGTATGAAAGAAGTGTTCACGCTTGTAGTCACGCTGAGCAGCTCGTAGCACCCGAAGAGTGGTCATCTTCGGGGTGGGGGAGAAGGTCTAGAAGAAGTCAACTCCCTGTCGCTGACTGAAGCCTCGTGCGACGTAACGAGCCTTGAAGACAGGCGAAGAACCCGGCGGCCGCTTCACCCTGAAAATCCACATGCCATCGACTATGTTCGCCCCAGGAGGGGGAACTGCGTCGATGTAAGTGCCTGTGGACTTCCAGGATGCCATCTCCGCGTCCATGGCTGACTGCCACTGAGAGGAGTAGGGACCCGTAATCGCCTCTGCGTAAGAGCGCGGGGTCGGGATGTCTAGAGCATCCGGGTCTCCCTCAGGGGCAAGCAGCATGGACACGAGATGAGGAACAGTAGCTGCAAGACACTCGAAGTCCTGCAAGTCCTCAAGAACGTCCGTGCCAAGAGCACACTCACCCCCGACGGACTGAGGAGAGACAACCTCATACTCAGCAACAAGACTAGTGGCGTAGTCGAGATGACAAGCAGCAGCAAAGTCAACAAGCTCAGCGACTAAGGCAGACGCAGCAGTCGAAGGGTCAGTGACAATAGTGGCTAGAAGACGTGTGATAGGAGGGCTGGCAGCACGAACCAGGTCAGACTCAGGGTCCGGAACGTGCGGAAGAGAGGACGCAGGAGGAGACGGCAGGGGGACACGCTGTGGAACAGAGGAAGGACGAAGTGCCATAGTGTGAGTGTCGTGGACAGGGGGAGGACGCTAACGAGGAGCACGATGAGTAGTGCGACCAGCGCGACAGGCGAGGCAGGATGAGACGCAGGCTCACGACGCTCTGTAAGCGAGTCAGTCTGCTCAGTGTAAGGAGAAGGAGCAGGTGGTGTGGAGCCTGGCTGTAACAGGAGGCCAGTAGAAGACGGGAGGCCAGTACCGAATCAGCCAGTGGCAGAAACGACGGTGACGACGGAGCGAAGAACAGTCACGGCTTTCCAGTACCACCAGCACCTGTACCAACAGCACCAGCACCTCCAGTATGAGTAACAGCAGCTCCAGCGCCTCCAGCAGCTCCAGAACCTCCATCGCCAGCACCTGTAGCTCCAGCGCCTCCAGCTCCAGTACCTCCAGCTCCAGCGCCTCCAGCTCCAGCGCCTCCAGCGCCAGCGCCTCCAGCTCCAAAGCCCGCAGCACCACCAGCTCCAGTACCTCCAGGACGAGCACCTCCGGGACCAGCAGTGCCAGTACCACCAGCACCTCCAGCACCAGCAGCACCATCAGCTCCGGCAGCTCCAGTACCCCTAGTACCAGCACCTCCAGCAGCCCCAGCTCCAGGGCCGCCAGCCCCAGCGCCTCCAGCGCCAGCGCCTCCAATTCCAGCGCCTTAAGCTCCGGGGTCTCCAGGATCAGTAGCTCCAGCACCCTTAGTACGAGCATCTCCGGAACTGGCAATGCCAGCACCACCAGCACCTCCAGCACCAGCAGCACCACCAGCCCCGGCAGCTCCAGTACCTCCAGTACGAGCACCTCCAGGACAAGCAGCTCCAGCGCCTCCAGCTCCAGTAGCGCCACTCCGAAGGCGGAGCTGCTGAGCGTACCACTCGCGCGGCGACTTTGGTGAGAGAGCACCTCCAGTACCTCCAGTACGAGCACCTCCGGGACCAGCATTGCCAGCACCAGCAGCACCACCAGCTCCAGCAGCTCCAGTATCTCAAGTACGAGTACCTCCAGGACTAACAGCTCCAGCTCCTCCAGTACCTCCAGCACCTCCAGCAGTACCTCCAGCACCTCTCGGACTAGCAGCTTCAGGGCCTCCAGCTCTAGCAGCGACACTCCGAAGGCGGAGCTGCTGAGCGTACCACTCGCGCGGTGAGAGAGGCTCCCGGAGTGGAGAAGCAGTACCCCTAGGCACAGCATCCCCAGACTCAGCAACACCAGGCTCCGCACCCGTAGGCTCAGCACACCCAGGCTTCGCACGCTCAAGTTCAGCGCCCACCCCCAGGCTCCACACGCTCAGGCTCAGCACCCCCAGGCTCAGCACCCCTAGGCTCCGCACGCTCAGGCTCAGCACCCCCACGCTCCGCACGCTCACGCTCAGCACCCTCAGGCTCCGCACTCGTAGGCTCAGCACCCCCAGGCTCCGCACGCTCAGGCTCAGCACCCGCAGGCTCAGCACCCCCAGCAGCACCAGAGTCACCAGTGACCTCGACAGGCTCAACCAAGGAAAGGGGTCCACTCTACCTGAGACACACCTGAAGGAGCAGGACCCTGAGGGTGGAGGGGGTCTACCGGAGGGGGGGGGGGGGGGGGGGGGGGGGGGGGGGGGGGGGGGGGGGGTGGGAGGAGGGGCAGTGCGGTAGGGGAAGAGACGGTAAATGGGAACCGACTCATCAAACTTGACGTCGTGAGAGGACAGAAAATGGCGCGAGGTGGCGCAGACACCTGACCAGAAGCAGCTACCTGGGGAGCCTCAGTAGTCAGTGTGTTCCGACCCAGGCCGACGGGTGAACGTGGCCAGGTGACGGCCCGTCCGTGCACACGTGCAGATCGCCACACGCTGTCCTCCAGGGGTAAAGGTATCAACCCATGCATCCTGAAGGACTGCGTTGCTCACCAAGTTCGTCGAGAACGAGGGGAGGTGAAGACCTGACAGTGAGCCAGACGGAACCGCCGGACACGGGAGAACAGTGGTGGAACGTGCAGGTACTGGGCCCTCAGAGGGGTCAGCCAGAGAGACTGCAACAGGTGCAGGGAGTGGTGTGACTGTGGTACTGTCGCGAAAGAAGCAACGGGAAGCACCTGAGTCAAGCGTGAAGGTGTGCAAGGCCTCAGCAGGCGCAGTACCAGAAAGAGCAGACTCACTAGCACCTAGAGCAGCAACCTCTATACCAGGGTCAGGGGGCACACATAGGTAACAGTCACCATCAGTACTACCTCTCAGAGCATGCATGGCAGTAAGGATAATATCATAGTCTAGAGCAAAGATATCCACCTTGTCGCACAGCAGCTCTAGCCAGGAGGGGAGCTCAGCCTCGTCGCCAAACACTGCACGCCAGGCGTCGCTTAGACAGGTGAAGCAGCGAGCCTGTGTGTGACCAACTGTCCCGCAAGTCTGACCAGCCCGATCACCTGTGCGAATGACGTACGGGCAGCGGGCAGTACTCCTAGACCCCCCACTCTGAGCGTCCCACCACGAAGCTGCTGGCGCGTAAGGGTCTCGTTCGGACACCGCTGCAGCTGCATCTGGCCACCGCCAGAAACTCCGCACTGAACAGCTCCACCGCGATTGCCACGATGGCCACCGCCAGCACACCACCTGGCGTACCACTCACGGAGCTGTTGGGGCGTAAGAGTCTTGCGCGGACGCCGCTGCAGCTGCATCTGGCCACCGCCAGAAACTCCCCACCGAACAGCTCCACAGCGACTGCTACTATGGCCGCCACCACACCCACTATTGCCACCACCGCCGTCACCACTCCCACCGCTACTACGAAGTGAAGTCATAGCGGGCAAGCAAGGAGGAGTGCGACCAGTAGGGCAGCACGGAGGAAAGGCAGTAGCACGAGCAGCAGCAGCAGCAGCAGTAAGAGTAGAAGACCGGCTCGGTGAGGCTAGGCTGCACCTAGCAGCACTCCTAGCAGCACCTCCACCAGCAGCAGCAGTAGCACGAGTTGCAGGGCGGATCGGGCTGGGCGGCGCGGTTCAGCCTGGGCTGCGCGGGTAGCAGGGCGCGCGCTGTGTAGGGCAGCAGGGCGCGACGCGCGGGCTGCAGCAGAGCGCGACGCGCGGGGCAGCAGAGCGCGACGCGCGGGCTGCCGTAGGGCGCGACGCGCAGGGCAGCAGGGCGCGACGCGCGGGCTGCAGCAGGGCGCGACGCGCGGAGCAGTAAAGCACGACTCGCGGGCTGCACAGGGCGCGACGCGCAAGGCGAGGCGTGCGCAGGGCAGCGCGACGCGGGGAGTGGTAAGGCGTGCGCGGGGCAGCGCGACGCGGGGCAGGGCAGGGCGTGCGCGGGGCAGCGCGACGCGGGGCAGGGCAGGGCGTGCGCGGGGCAGCGCGACGCGGGGCAGGTAAGGGCGTGCGCGGGACAGGGTGTACACGGGCTGTGTGCGCAGGGCGCGCGCTGAAGGCGCAGCGCAGGGCAGGGCGCGGGGTAACGTGGAAATTGCAGTCGGTCATTAGGTAATGGTGGGCCCAAAAAAAAAAAACGGTCCTACGGACCTACTGCTCTGATACCATGTCAGAAACTAGCGAGCAGGAATGAGTGCATTGAGTAGAGAGGTGGGTACAAATGCTAACCCTAATTTGGATTGTACCCCTTATAGGCTAACCCACTACAGCCTACACAGCACAAGCATCAGTATAATTTGACACCATGTATCCGATCCGAGGTAATACAATAGCAACTGACTGATTCTGGCACCACCGCCACTGTTTCCTTGCTACCTGCACCACAATGCACCTGCCGTACATCCGAGAAGATGCGGGAGACATGCATGCATGGAAACAATTGTACAAAAATAGACATGCATAAATAGAGACATGCATAGATAGGCATGCATAGATAGATGTGCATAGATAGACATGTATAGACAGAGACATGCATAGATAGACATGCATAGATAGAGACATGAGTACATAGACACATGAGACATGAATTGATGGAGACATGCATACGTAGGGACATGAGTAGGTAGGCATGCATACATAGAGACATGCACACATGCTCCTGAATGACACCTCCCCCATTGCACCCACGCAGCAGTGCCCTCAAGAACCCTCCCCACGCCACTGCCGGCACAGCGCCTCTGCTCGATCTGCCAGCAAGCGCCTCACCCTCTCATCCACCTGCTCTCCCCCTTGCTGCGCCTGCCGCCCTGCCTCGCCTGCCTTCTGCCCGCCCACATCGCATGGCGGGGCGGCCGCAGCACAAGCAGTGGCGACAGCCACAGGTGGGTGGCTCGGCATCAGGTTCGGAGATGATGTGGGCCCGTGGGAGTGGTGGGAGGGAAATGCGAGGCGGGCGATGCAGGAGAGGAGGCCGGAGTGGCGAAGGAGAGGCGGGGAGATGTCGAGGCTACCCAGGTACCACAGCAGCACGCGCGCCTGCCCCGCCTGCACCGTGCACAGCACAGAGAGGGGGAGTGACCACGACAAGCTCATGTCTGCTATTACTGAAAAGGCGGAGGATGAGATGAAGTGCAGAGAAGGAGGCAAACGAATCAAGAGAAATCAAATGGGCGGCACGGTAAGTTAAAATGAAGAGGATGGTGAGAGTTGGTGCAGGCACAGCAGGTGGCGGTGCAGGTGGCAAGCAGGTGACTCACAGCTGCGTTGGAGAGCAGTGCTGCTTCCAGCCGTGCCTTGATGGATGCCACCTGATGGGGGCACACGGGCAGAAAGAGGAGATCATGTTGTGGATGGGTGCGTGCTTCAGAGAGGATATGCAGAACTTAAACCGCCAAGGGTGAGAATGTTGATCACATGTACCTCTCTGCAAGTAAGACGAGCAGTTCACTGCACAACATGGCGCACTGAAGCGGAAAGACTCACCTCCGCCATCACTCCTTGGTCCGACTGCTCATCGTCTCCCCCATCTGTGCCTCTCCCATGCATCTCCTCCGCTACCCCTTCTACTCCTCCTCCGCTGCATGCATGTGCTCCGCTTTGCTCTGCCAGCCCGGCACGTGCAGCAGCAAGGCTGTCGTGCTGGCACTTGCTGTGTGGGGGATACTGCATCTCCTCACTCGCACTCCTCTCACTCGCACTCCTGCTCTCACGCGCACTCCTCTCACTCGCACTCCTGCTCTCACTCGCACTCGCGCCTCCACTGCTGTCACCCAAAGCATTGCTGCTGCTGCCCTGCTCATGCCATGCTGCCCCACACTCTCCTGCTCTCGCCCTGTCTGCCCGGCGCTGCTCTCGCCTGCCACCACCATCGTGCCTGTGTGTCTCTCGCCCGTGCCTGCGCCCTTCTCGCCCCCCTCGCGCTCGTCGCACCACCGCCTCCACACGCCTGTGCCTCTCGCACTGCACCCTTCCGCCCTGCTCTTCCTCACTGCCCTGCCCTGGCCGCCGCCACACTGCCCTTCCTCGAGGGCCCTCCCCACTCACTGAACCCTCCCCAACTCCCTCTGCACTGTCCTCTGCACTGCCCTCCCCACTCCCTTCACTGCCCTCCCCACTCCCCTCACTGCCCTCCTCACTCCCCTGACTGCCCTCCCCACTCCCCTCACTGCCCTCCCCACTCCCCTCACTGCCCTCCCCACTCCCCTCACTGCCCTCCCCACTTCCCTCACTGCCCTCCTCCTCGTTGCCCTTCTCACTGCCGTGCACGCTGCCTGTGTGCCGGGCACCAGCACAGAGCAGCCCTGGCCGTGAGCGTGCAGCAGGGCGCATGGACGGCCCACCATGCGCACAGCCGCCCACGCCTGAAAGCATCACCGTCACCTTGCCCGCCTTGCCTCGCGCCACTCGCCCTCGCTTCATCGCCCACCCCTCCCCTTCCCATCGGCCCCTCTCCACCCCCTTCTCCGCACGCCTCTTCCCTCTCCTCACCTCCTCCCCTGCCTGCCCCGCCCTCTCCTTCACCTGCCCTCGCGCCTCATGCCCACCCTCTCGCTCCGTCACGACCCTGCCTCTCCGTCCATCCACTCCTCCCACCGCCTTCTTACCCCTCGCTCTCCTCTCACCTCGCCCTGCCCTCTCTCCCTCTCCCACCACTGCTCTTACTGCTCTCTTTCCCTCCACCCTCCCTGCCCCCGTCACCGCGTCAGCTCCCACGCGCACAGCAGCAGGCAGGGCGAGCACCACCAGGCGCTGCCCAAACGAGGCATTACCCACCAGGCCTACACACCTGGAAGCTTCCATGGCTTGCCGAGCCAACGAGGGAGACTTGGAAGTCTCTTCAAGGGTGGCTTGGGGTGCTGGCGGAATGGGAGTGGGGCACGAAGGCGTGCAATGTGGGAGAGGCGTGGGGAGGGTGAGGAGTGGGAGTGTGGGAGCACGAGGTGGACGCGGGCAGAGCAGAGGCGGGGCGGTGGAGCGAGGAAGTGGGACAGCAGAGGGCGATGGCTGCGCGCCCCTGTAGGGCCATGTGGCCGCCTGAGGCTGTGTGGGGGGCTGCAGCTTGGCAGGCGGTGGAGGGGGCAGGCGGAGGAGGGGAGCAGGAGGGGCAGCGGAAGCATGTGGTGGTGGGAGGCGGAGGAGTGAAAGGGGGGACGCAGCAGCAGGAGGTGGAGGGCGAAGGGGCAGCGCTGGGTGGGTGGCGGCAGAGCGTGGGGGCAGAGGGATGTCAGGTGGAGCACCGGCAGCCGTAGGCAGGCCATTAGGTGAGAGTGCAGTCATGGCTGCTGCTGTACGCAGCAAGGCATCTCTCCCCCTCTCTGCCTCTCCGCCCTGCCCCACGCGCACCATCTCAAGCGCCAGGGTACCATCCACGCCATCTTGCCATCCATGCCTCGTTGCCTCGCTGCCTTCCCACCTGCATTCACCGCCTCTGCCCTCACGGCAGCGCACAGCATGCAGCTGGTCGCCCCCCTCTGCGTATGTGCCCTCCTTCCACGTGCCCGCCTCCACCCGTCCGTTCTCCTCTATCCCTCTTCCCACAAGCACGTTCATCGACACTACTTTACCTCCCTTGCCCTCTGAATCCTCCCACTCCCTCCCTCTTATGCTCCCTCGCTCTCTTCCCGTCTCCCCCCTAGCCCTTCCCAGTGTGCCCCTCCCTAGAAGCACATTCACAGAGACCACTTTATCTCCCCTTTCCCCTTGTGCACCCCACTCATCATTCCTTCCCGAAACCGTCACACCCTTTTCTTCTTTTCTTGTCTTTTCAGGAGTTCCCCTCCCTATAAGCACATTCAGCGACACTGTCTTATCACCTCTCACCTCTTCCGTTTTCTCTGACATTGTCACTCCCTGCCCCTCTACATCTCTCGCAACCGTCTCTCCCCCGCCCCTGCCAGCAGGCCCCGTGCTGCCGCGCGTGCCACGGCAAGCAGCGGACGCCATGCTGTGTGGGGGAGAGCAGGCGGGGTGAGAGCCGCCTTGCAACCCGCCACGGCCCGCCACTTGGCAGGCGTGAGAGCCTTCGCTGCCTCCACGCGCGCCGCTCACTGCCACCCTCTCTGCCCCGCCCCCGCTGCTCTCACTCCCTCTCGCCGCCGCTACTCCTCCCTCCCCATTGCCGCTCATCCCTGTCTGCTCGCCGCTTGCCTCTCGCTCGCCGCTTGCCATGCTTCCATGCGCTTCCCGCTCGCCCCCCTCGCCCCCCTGGCCCTGCATGTCACTCGCGGCGCCACGCCGTGTGCCCGCCACACGCATGCGTGCCACGTCCGTCGCTGATCCCTTTTCGTACATCATGCTCCCCTCCCCCTGCTCCGCTCCCCATTGCCCTTCCTCGGTTTTCACCTCTCGCTCACGCACTTCACCACTTCCCCATCCCTCCCTCCCTCCACTGCCTTTCCTCGCGTGAAAGCAATCGCGTCGTCTCTTCCGCTGCCCCCACACCACCCACCCTGGTAACGCCTCCTCCGCTCCCTTCATCCCAAAAATCGGGCCCTTAAAAAAGTAGGGTTTCGTGGGTTATGTCTGAAGTATCTTGTTCAACTGAGTGGGGAAAGATGCTTTCGACGCGTCGCGTCGAAACGAAATCAGGGATTGCTGCTTCGGGATTCTCGAAACTGCTTGGGCACACAGGGTGGCAGCTTCGGAAGCTATGCGATTCGTCGAAGAGCTCGCTTGGCGGGTTCGACCTCATATTTGAGCCTCGGGACACCTAGGTCTAGGCCCGTAACTGGGCATCCGTGTCCCATAGGCTCTGGGCCTCGAGCATATTATTTGTACAGATCCTAATAGGATATTATTTGTCTATTTATACAGTCGATGCCTGTGCACGCGAAATTGCCTTGCACGTTCCAGAAACCTTGCACCCGTGGGTTTCTTGCCGCGAAGTTGCACCTACGTTACAAGCACGTCGACCAATAAGAGCCACAGAAACGGAAGTCTGACTGATGAGACTGCAGTCAAACAGTCAACAGTGAGTTACAAAATTTTAATATAAGCCCTTTTTGCCCGACGCGAATTGACGAAACCACCGCGAAATGCAGAATCACTTATACGCACATAGGGTAGGCCAAAGTTGGGGGCTCAACCGGGCATCGAGTGTACTTTTAGAAGCAATAGTTGTGCCTAATGTAACAGATACCTATTTACAGGTATAGTGTAAGGAATTTTCTCGAATTCCTTATCGGGGTTGACTACTGCGCGTACAACCCGATTTTCGGAGTTCGCACGTTCGGGCGATTTCCACGCTGCCGAGGCTCCTCGCGTCGCCTTCGGCATTCCCATCGCCAAACCTGCACCCAACCTCGCTCGCCCGAGGTTTCCTCCTAGCTAGGCTAGCCCTACATTAGTCTGTGCATTCATTGTAGTCTCAGTTGATTCAGTCACAGCCTCGATATTCGTTTACCTGCGCACTCTCTTTTACAACTCATAACATCTGGTATCAGAGCTACTTTCCTAGTTCACCCCGCTTTTCGAGGGTAGTTTGGTGGCATAGGGTGTGGCTGGTTTAGTGACTACACGACGGTTGGCCGCAGGGATTGTTAATTCAATCCTGCCCGACTCCGATAGTTCGTGTTTTCATTTGCCTAAAGGCCACGGGGACCCGACTGCCCACCAGACGTAGTGCTAGGCACATGGATCAGGAGGCTGTTAACCGGATGATGGCACAAGTGGCAGAAATGCAGTAGAGCATGATGACATTGTCAAACATATATGCTGCATATTGTCTAGGCTGTAGTGGGATAGCCCATATGGGGTACAACCCAAATTAGGGTTTACTACTTGTACTCCTGCATGCTGCTAGTTCAATCATTCCTGCTGCTAGATTCTAACATGGTTTCAGAGCACTAAGGTCCGTAGGACCGTTTTTTTTTTCGGGCCCACCTACCGCTGCGGTTACCGCACTACCCAACGTACCTGCCTGCCTTGCCTTGCCTTGCCTTGCCTGCCTTGCACTACGCGCGCCGTCCAGCTGCCCTGGCGCTGCCTCCTGCTGCCCTAGGCCAGCGCGCTGCCCCTAGAGGCCCGTAAGGCCCGCGCACTGCCCCTACACGCCCTTCAGGCCCGCGAACAGCCCCTGCAGACCCGTTAGGCCCCCTGCTGCCGCGCGCTGCCCGCACCGAGCCCGCGCAGCCCGCGCCGAGCCGCGCGCAGCCCGCTGCAGCCGCGCGCAGCCCGCGCCGAGCCGCGCGCGGCCTGCTACGGCCTCGCGAGGCCCGCGCGCGGCCCGCAGCAGCCCGCGCCGAGCCGCGCGCGGCCTGCTACTGCCTCGCGCGGCCCGCGCACGGCCCGCAGCAGCCCAGCGCGCTGTCCGCGCAGCCCGCGCCGAGCCGCGCGCGGCCCTCTGCCTCGGCCCCGACCTGCCGCTGATGCGGCCCCGCCCTGCAGCTGCCACGGCCCCGACCTGCCGCTGATGCGGCCCCGCCCTGCAGCTGCCGCGGCCCCGACCTGCCGCTGACGCGGCCCCGCCCTGCAGCTGCCACGGCCCCGACCTGCCGCTGACGCGGCCCCGCCCTGCAGCTGCCACGGCCCCGACCTGCCGCTGACGCGGCCCCACCCTGCAACTGCCGCTGAAGCGGCCCCGCCCTGCAGCTGCTTCGGCCCTACTCTGCAGCCGCTGTTGCGGCCCCGATTGTCGTGCGCCTACTCGGCCGCCGCCCGTCGAGCGCCGGCCCTGCTCGCCCGGCGAGCGCCTGCTCTTCCAGCCTTTGGTGAGCGCCTGCCTGCCTGCCTGCCGGCCTGCCTGCCTGCCTGCCTGCCTGCCGGCCTGCCTGCCTGCCTGCCTTCCTGCCTGCCTGCCTGCCTGTCTGCCTGCCGGCCTGCCTGCCTGCTTGCCTGCCTGCCTGCCGCGCCTGCCCTGCCCGCGCTACTGCTACTTCTACTGCTACTGGCAGGTGGCCAGATGCAGCTCCAGCGACGTTCACGCGAGTCTCTCACGCCCCAGCAGCTTAGTGAGTGGTATACTAGCTGGGGTTGTCGCGGTAGCCGTCATCGCTGTCGCCCTGGAGCTGGTCAGTTGGGAGCGTCTGGCAGTGGCCAGCTGCAGCTGCAGCGGCGTCCACGCGAGACACTTACGTCCCAGCAGCTTAGTGAGTGGTACGCTCAGTGTAGCAGGTCTACGCGTACAGTTCGCTGCCCATACGTCATTCGCACAGGTGATCGGACTGGTCAGCCTTGCGGGACGCTTGGTCACACACAGTCCCGCTGCTTTGCCCGTCTGAGCGACGCCTGGCGTACCGAGTTTGGCGACGAGGCTGAGCTCCCCACCTGGGTGGAGCTGCTTAGCCAGAGGGTAGATATCTTTGCTCTTGACTATGATGCTATTCTCACTGCCATGTATGCATTGCCTACTAGTGCTGACCGTGCCTGTTACCTGTGCGTACCGCCTGACCCTGGTATAGAGCCTGCTGCTCTCGGTACTGGTGAGGCTGCTGCTCTAGGTGCTCGTGCGTCTCCTGCTCTAGGTGCTAGTGAGGCTGCTGCTCTAGGTGCTAATCCTTCCCCTGCTCTAGGTGCTGGTGAGGCTGCTGCTCTAGGTGCTGGTGAGTCTGCTCTCTCTGGTACTGCGCCTGCTGCGGTCTCGCACACCTTCACCCTTGACTCAGGAGCTTCCCACTCACGCCGCTTAGTCGGCCAGTTCCAGTCTCCCTGGCGGACACCTCCGGGGGTCCAGTCCTTGCTCACTACTCCACGGTTCTGCCGTGTCCGGCCGCCCCGTCTGGCTCGCTGTCAGGTCTTTACCTCCCCTCGTTCTCTACGAACTTGGTGAGTGGAGCTGACCTCCAGGATCGGGGGGTTCACCA